GGTCTTCGCTGCTGTGTGCAGGCTTCCCCTAGTTGTGACTAGAAAGGGCTGCCCTCTGACAACAGTGTGCAGGCTGCTCATTGCAGTGGCTTCTCATCGCAGAGCACGGACTCAGGACTTGGGGGCACAGATTCAGTTGTCCTGTGGCATCTTTGAGACCAGGGATCAAACCTGTGTCTCCTGCATTAGCACGTGGATTCTTAACCACTGGAGCACCAAGGAAGTCCCCCAGAGGTGTTACTTGGCACATGTGTCATCCTGTGAGGAGGGCTGGAATGATGAGTGATGGGGTTGGGGGTCTTCTTGACACTTATCAGACAGAGACATCAGCCTCCGGGGGAAGCACTGCAGCAAAACGGAGAAAAGGAGGCTGGACATAGGCTCACCCAAGGCCCCCAAAGACCCACCCCAAGAGACTGTCCTCAACAATCAAGGACGTGAAAGGAAGTAGGCGGTGGCCACAGGAAGGACAGGGGAAATGCAGATGTCTTTGCGCTGAGTTGCATTCAGTCATAGTTGGGTATATTGTACAATACATAATAGTGTTTCCTCTGGAAATTCTATGTGCTAACTTTCACTAACCTTAGAACTAGGCCGGCATCTTCCAATCCCTTGGTGGTGTGAGCAAATGAGAATTGGCTGTATTTATCAGCCCAGTCCTTGGAAAAGACTATCAGTTACCTGTAATACGTCAGCAAAGGTCCAGGCGACTTTTCAAATCAGCTTTGGCTTGGCAAGTGGCTGCGGGCACGTGGAATGTTTTCTTCATCAGCAAACCTCAGTGACTGCGGGGAGAGGACTCTTCTGTGGTCACTGAGCTTTTACTGGACACAAGTTGGCCTGATTGCCAGCAAATCTGTTGTGCAAGGGAGGTTGGCAGGCATGCAAGGGACACTTGTTTGAACTCCAAGTCCAGGGAGCTGCTCCTTAGGAAAGCCTGGCCCTGTAATGCTCACACCACCCTTGGGACTCAGCCTTCCTCTCCAGGTGTGTGTGAGATGTAAGGAGAAGCTCCAATAGCCCTCCCGAGCCTTTGGAGAAGGTCGTTTTTCTGTCCTGGGATTTTCTTCTAGAGATGAAGTTACTGGTCCTCTTACTCTTTTTGTTTAAACCGTGAAAGAGGCTTGGCCAGATCTCAAATACGCTCTCTTTTCTGTGCCCTCCTTGGCGACAGAGCTCAAAACGGCAGAGCACCCCAGGGAAACGTCAGGACCCCAGGCCCTTCTGTCCCCGCTCTAATCTCTGGGCGGGCAGGCAGCAGCAGACATTGCTCATTCCAGCCCTGATTCACTCCCTGTGGAATCACACACTTCCCTCACAGAGCCCAGAGCTCACCGTGGGTGTGCATCCATTCATTCACCCATTCACTTCACTCATTTTTTTTTTTTACTGGAATATAATTGCTTTACAATGTTGTGTTAGTTTCTGATGTACAACACTGTGAATCAGCTGTAGGTGTGTCTCCATCCCCTCTCTCGTGAGCCTGCCTCCCACCCACCCCCATCCCACCCTCCAGGTCACCACGGAGCCGAGCTCCCTGGGCCGAAGAGCCGCTTCCCACTAGCTGTCTATTTCACACACGGTAGGGTCGGTCCGACCATGTCTCAGTATGTCCGTCCCCATCTCTCAATTCACCCCACCCTCCCCTTCCCCTCTTTGCCAACAAGTCCACTGCCTGTGTCTCCATTGCTGCCCTGAAAATAGGTTCATGTGTACCATTTTTCTAGATTCCATATGTATGCATTGATAGAAATGTTGTTTTTCTCCTTCTGACTGACTTCACTCTGTATGACAGACTCTCGGTCCATCCGCTTCTCTACAACTGACCCAACTGGGTTCCTTTTTATGCCTGAGTAGTATTCCATTGTATACATACACCACATCTTCTTCATCCTCTGTCGATGGACATCTAGGCTGCTTCCATGTCTTGGCTACTGTAAATAGTGCTGCAGTGAACACTGGGGTACATGTGTCTTTTTGGATTGTGGCTTTCTCAAGGTGTATGCCCAGTTGTGGGATTGCTGGGTCATACGGTAGTTCTATTTTCAATTTTTATAGGAACTTCCATCCTGTTCTCCATAGTGGCTATATCATTTTACATCCCCACCAACAGTGCAAGAAGGTTCTCTTTTCTCCACATCCTCTCCAGCATTTATTGTTTGTAGACTTTTTGATGATGGACATTCTGACGGATGTGACGTGATACCCTATACCTTTGACTTGCATGTCTCTAGTAATTAGTGATGATGAGCATTTCATGTGTTTGTTGGCCATGTGAATATTTGGAGAACAGTCTATATTTAGGTCTTCCACCCATTTTTTTATTGTGTTGTTTGTGCTTCTGACATTCATTCTTTTAATAAATCATTATTGGGCACCCAGTCCAAGCCCAGCTTTGGACCAGGCCCTGGGGAGACAGCCGTGACCAGGTCCCAGTGCCCCTTCAGGGTAGGCACAGTCTGGTGGAGGAGACAGGGCTCAGACCATCGTAACTGAGGGGTGGATATTAATACAGGGGAACTCGGGGGTGCCGTGGGCTCATGTGATCCATGGGACTCCTTGAGGAAGTGGCATTTCAGCTGAGACTTCCAAGATAAAAACGAATAGTCAGGCAGAGTTGAGGAGTGGCTCCCTGGGTAGAGGGGCAGCTTATAATAGAGTGGGAAAGTGAAAGACAGCATGGCTCTCAGGGAACGCAGGCGGCTCCTGGGGCTGGAGTGTGGGGTGAGAGGAAGGCGGCCCTGTTCCTGACTGTCTGGCGCACTCCAGCCTCAGGACCCTTGTTCTCACTGCTTCCTCTGTCTGCAGCGCTCTTCCCTAAGATGACTGTGTGGTAACTCCCCCACTTCCTACAAGTCCCTGCTCCCATCTCACCTTCTCCATGAGCACCCCCGCCACCAGCAGACGTTTATCATCACGTGTACCCCCACTCCCCACTCCTCCCCAGCTCCGACCTTCCTTCTCTCCATGGAGAACCTTTTAACAGGCTATCTACGTATTCATTATGCCTATTTTCTGTCTCCCTCACTATTAATAGAATGTCAGCGCCACTAGGTCAAGGACCCCTGTCAGTTTTTTTCACAGACGCATTCCCAAGTCCTTGAACATATGAAGGAACAAATAAATGAGGTCTGAGAGGTTGGCAAGGAGGTCAGATTGCCGGGGCCTTGAAGGTCAGCGGAAGGCATGTAAGTTTGGTTTCAAGTGCAGTGGGAAGAACCAAAGGGTTTCGAGTAAGGGCAGGGTCGGAGCCTGCATCACATTTTAAATCCTTGCTCTAGGATCTGTGCAGAATGGTTTGAAGGAGGGAAGGCTGCTGCAGGCATCAGGCATGAGTGGGAGTGCCGGGGCTATGGTGGGGGCAAGAAGTGGATGGACTGAGGAGATTGCAGGAGGTAGAGTGATCATGCTTTTGTGATCTGAGGGGTTGGAGGAAGACAGGGCAAGGCAGCCTCAGGCTCCCCCCTGAGTCACAGGGCTGGAATGGAGGTCCTTGTTAAGGTGGGGTGACAGGGGAGAAACAGACTGGGGGCCGGGGTGGTCAAGAATTCCACGTGGGCCCTGGTGAGCTGGGCCTCTTAGACTTTCGAGTGGAGGTGCCAAGTAGCCTACTGGATGGAGTTTAAGCTCAGGGTGAAAGTCTGAACTAGAAATAAACAGTTAGGAATCGCTGACTTAGAGGTTTTAGACCCATGACAGAGTAGGGGGGGAAAAGATGCCTAAGAACCAACATTGAGGACTGAACCCTGATGCCTTCTGAAACTGCCCTCGAGGGGTAAGGAGTTTGCCAGGAAGGTAGGGAGAAGGCAGTCCAGGTAGAAGGAACCTCACATGAAAGAACACGGCTCTCAGTAATCTTCAAAACTGCCAAATTCACCCAAAAGAGAGTCTGAGAAACTATCACAGCCAAGAGGAACCTCAGGAGATAAGACAATGAAACGTAACATAGTATCTTGGATGAGATTCTCAGATAGAAAAAATAATATTAGGTAAAAACTAAGGAACTCTGAATAAGGTCTTGTTGTTGCTGTTCAGTTGCTAAGTCATGTCCGACTCTGTGACCCCGTGGATTGCAGTACGCCAGGCTCCTCCACTGTCTCTCGGACTTTAGTTAATAATGATGCTGCAAGCAATACCATATGATATCACTTATACGTGGAATCTAAAAAACAAAAAAGGATACAAATGAACTTATTACAAAAACAGTTACCGATGTAGACAACTTATGGTTACCGAGGAGTAAAGGGGGAGGGATAAACTGGAAGACTGGGGTTGACATAGTACGCCACTGTATATAAAGTAGGTAACTAACAAGGCCCTACTGTATAACACGGGGAACTGTACTCAATACTCTACAATGGCCTATATGGAAAAGAATCTGAAAAGGAGTTGAGATATATATATAGCTGATTCACTTGCTATATACCTGAAACTAACACAACACTGTAAATCAACTATATTCCAATAATTAGAAAAAAAATAAGAATATGCATCTTCACAACCCAGTCAGACTCAATAAACTGATTTCCATCATGAACTCGGGGGAGGTGAGAATTTTTTTTAAATAATGTTATTACTTAACAATTAGTTAACAGTCTAATAATTAGTTTGTTAATTAGAACAGATGTGCCATACTATGTACATGTATATCTACATACATGTAGGATATTAAGAGAAACAATAGAGAATCTACATGCAGGGTACAAGGAATTCTATTATCTTAATTTTTCTCTCAGTCTAAATCTGTTCTAAAAATAGTCACTTTTTTTTAAAGTGAGTCTCATTTAAAAAAGTGAGTCTCATAAATGATGCCCAAACACACACACACACACGCACGCACGCCAAGGATTAGAGTACTTTGTTTCTCTGCAGAGGACTTTGATCCTGGCCAGTCCCATCTGTGGTCAAAAGACTCGGGGGCTCTGTGAATCTCTCTCCACTCCTCCCCCTGCCAGGGAGCAGAGAGTCCTCACTGCCCTTTACTTTCTCTCTGTTCACAGAAGGAATACTCTCCCCAGGCTGTATTTCATAATGAAAATGAGAAGCAGAGACTAAATGGCTCAGGTAAGTCAGATTCCCCTAAAATTCCTTGGGGATGCAATCAATGTTAATCTCTCTGGAATGCTCTATAAAAGCACATTCCTTAGTCATAATTTTCCTGAACCTGCACCTTGTTCGACACCTGACTTGGTTTTCCTCCTGCAGTAAAAGCTTTGGCACCATCTGGGTTCAAATGCCTTCTACCTGAAATGTTAGAAAGAGGTAAGTTTTGTATATGCATTTTTTATAAGTCTGGAAGGAGCGTCACCAATATAATGATATTGATCATGTCTGGTTGGAAAGTTCATGAGTCACATTTACTTCATTCTTTACTCCTTTGTGTCATTTCAACATATTTTACAGTATAATTAGATAAAAAGTGATCTTGAGCGGGTCACTTGAACCTTATCTTCCTCATCTCTGAAATGGGTATAACCATACTTAATAAGTGGGTCACATGAGATACAGTTTCCTCTGAAGAACGGATACGCGAGAGTGAATGCCCAGTGCCTGGCGTCGTGCCTGGGTTTCATGGTGGCTGGTTGTTGACAAGAAACATGACCAGTCTGGCCAATGTGTCACCTGGGTCCTTGGGGGCCTGTGCGGCGACAGGGACCCCTGAGTCACAGCGGAAGCTGGGCCTGGGCAGTGGTCAAGGGAAAGAGAGAGGCAACTCGGCTGTTGGCCTGTGGGGCACCAAGGCTGGAGAGAAGACCGAGGCAGAGGTGGATGGGACTGTGGCCACGGTCGCAGCAGCCGGCACAAGACGCAGCCATAATCAGAGGCTGCTCAGGGGCTTGAACAGCTCTGGGGCCGGGCGGAGGGTGGGTGCTGGGATTCTATAGATTTCAGGGGCGTTCATTTTGTGGGTGGGGAACTGAATTGGGTGCTGGCTCCTCCAACTAGCTCTGAGCATGAGCAAGCCACCTCACCTCCCTGAGTTTCAAGTGCATCATCCCTAAGGTGGTATCTTGAATGGGATTCCTACATTCATGTCACCATACATACCTCCCAGTGTTTGCATGAAGAGTATATGAAATAACAGACGCAGGAGAGTGGCCCCATTGAGGTCAGGCCCCTGAGTTTGTATGCCAGCCCCACACTGCGTGGCCTCAGATAAATTCCTTAACTTCTCTGAGCCTGTTTCCTCATCTGTAAAACTGGAAGGAAGGCTAATAGACCCTAATTCATAGGACTGTGAAGATGAAACAGAACAGGACATAAAGCACATGAAGATTAGTTTCTGTTTTAGAAGAAATATAGCCCAGCAGCAGTCACAGGGTAGAGAATCAAATGGTTGTTTTCTTATATCTTCCAAACTTGCCTGGTTGACCTTGCCCATCTACCTTTAGACTCTTGGGGAAACAATGAAAACAGTGACAGATTTTACTTTTGGGGGGGCTCCAAAATCACTGTAGATGGTGACTGCAGCCATGAAATTAAAAGACGCTTGCTCCTTGGAAGAAAAGTTATGACCAACCTAGACAGCTTATTAAAAAATAGAGACATTACTTTACCAACAAAGGTCTGTCTAGTCAAAGCTTTGGTTTTTCCAGTAGTCATGTATAAAGAAAGCTGAGTGCCAAAGAACTGATGCTTTTGAACTGTGGTGTTGGAGAAGACTTGAGAGTCCTTTGGACTGCAAGGAGATCCAACTAGTCCATCATAAAGGAAATCAGTCCTGAATGTTCATTAGAAGGACTGATGCTGAAGCTGAAACTCCAATACTTTGGTCACCTGATGCGAAGAACTGACCCATTTGAAAAGCCCCTGATGCTGGGAATGACTGAAGGTGGGAGGAGAAGGGGACGACAGAGGATGAGATGGTTGGATGGCATCACTGACTCAATGGACATGAGTTTGAGTAAGCTCCAGGAGCTGGTGATGGACGGGGAAGCCTGGCGTGCTGCAGTCCATGGGGTCGCAAAGAGTCAGACACAACTGAGCAACTGAACTGAACTGGTCCTCCCATTTTTTTATGTTAAAGGGATTCCACAAAGCCAGAGAAGGAAATCTTGTAGAATCCCAGGGGCCTCCCGCCACAACTTACTTCCCCCAGTGAAGCCCCTGCTTCTCAATGTCACCCACCCCAGGATGCCTTGGAACACTGAAAAAAAAACAAAATAAAATGAAAACAATATATTGCATTTGTTCTATGCTAGCCACTGTTCTAAGAGATACAGAAAATGTGTTGATTATGCTCACAACCCTGAGAGATGAGTTCTATGGTTATCCCCATTTTACAGATGAGAAAACTGAGGCTCTGTGAGGTTAGATAACTGAACCGTGGGGTCACAGAGCTATTAATTAGTGGCGCTGGACCTGATCCCAGAGATGGCACTCCAGAACCCCACACCTGCTTGCAGCATTCAACAAGGCCAGAGGCCAGGGGAGCAGAGAAGAGTAGGTAGGAGACCAGACTGGAAATCAGGACACGGGGTTCTCGCCTTGGTCCTGGAACGGTGAAGCCAGGAGTCCTCACGCCAGAGGCTTACCCCTGCCGAGCCTGGGCAGAGATACCGGCCTGGCCCTCCCACCTCCTGTCCCTCCCCCGCGGGCGCCTCAGGGCCTGGCGCTCCTGCCCTGCGTAACCTGATCTGCAGCGGGGTTTGGACCTCCGGCGAGTCACGGTTGTGAAGGTGCTCCGACAGAGGACTGCGCTCCGCGGTGCGCTCCCAGCCTGCGGCCCCAGCTCCGCAATCCAGCGCGCGGGTGCATGGCGCAGAGGCTGGGAGAGCGGGGGCGGGGGTCCACTGAGGCCACCGGGCTCTACCGGGCGGTGCTGCTCCGGTCCGGTAAGTGGCGGCGAGTCTCCCCGGCCCGCCGCCCCTGGGGGAGCGCGAGCAGGGCACCGCGGGCGCACTGCGCTCAGCCTCTGGCCGGCAGGGCGCCTCGCTCCTTCACTGCTGTGCTTTCCTTCTGGCCTCCCGGCTTTCATTCTTTTTAATTACTACTTGTTGTTTTTCTTTCATTCCTTCTTTCCTCCCTACATTCATTCTTTTGGGGATCTACTCTTAGATATATTGCTTTATTCTTTTATATGATCGTGTGGTGTGCGCGCGCACACACACATATACACAGACACTCACTGTTAGACAACTGCAAAAGTTTCTGCACTCGCCCAAGTGCAGGAAGGCATTGGTAGGCATGGGAGAACGGATATGGGCAGGACTGGTAGACTAAAGAGGCACAGCCAGCTGCTGGAGGGCTTCCACTGCTCCGTGAGGGGAAAGTCGGGGTGGGGTGGGGGTCGGCGAGGGCCGAGGACGTAGTTCCAGGAAGGTGAGGAACCGGTTTTCTAGATGTACACATTTAAAGGAGAAAACGACTTGGAAAGAAACACATGATGATTGTTTTTGAGGATTCAAGTTTGGGTAAGTGTTTTTTTCTATTTGTCTTTTTGCTCATTTGCAGTAAACACATACTGCTTTTCTACTCAGGATAGTTTTTTGTTTTTTGAGTTTTTTTTTTTTACTTTAGGAAAATAAAACAAATGTAATATAGGGTCAGTGTGAAAATAATTTGGAAAATACAAGGATGTGGAAAGAAGAAAAAGAACTCTGGCAGTGAAGTCTAGGGTGTTTCATTCCTAACTCAGTGCTTGGAGACAGGCGTTCAGAGGAGGTGAAAATCGGTCCCCTGCCAGCTCCCTGCCAGCCAGGCGAGAAGAAAATGTGAAGGGACTTGGGAGACAGCTACCCTCTGCCTTAGGCAAGGAGCCCACCCCACCCGGTAGTCCTGGGCGCCCAGCCCTGCAGCTGAAAGCGTGGCGAGCAGAACGGTGGACGGTGGGTGCGCGTCTGCAGCAGCGGTGCTGGTCGCCTGCCCTCACGCAGTCTGCTCCGGGGCTGAGCATTTCTTACTTCGATCGGCCCACCCCGGGGAGATCTCGCCGCGCAGTTACTGCTTGGGAACTTTGAAACAACGGTTCTCTGAGTTCAGAAGCACGGTCTGGCCAAGGTCTGCGGCGCCTTCCGGAAGGGGGGGGGTACCTTAAGACTGGCTCAACCAGAGCAGGCAGAAAGCTATCTCTGAAATTGGAAGACACTGATTGCAAACCTCAGCTCCAGGGATTTCCCTGCAAGACATCTATTCTTAAGGGCCTCTATCCAGTTCCTGCCTGCTCACTAAGGTGAGGAGAGGGTAGCTGTAATCTGAAGATCCGGTGTTCTCTAACGTGGAACCACAGGTGTGAGCCTCACTCAAACAGGAATATTTTTCTCCTGGCCGTACATCCAGAGTGGCAGACATGCCAAAGTCGTTCTGGGGGCCACACACTGCCCAGCAACTCACAGGTGCAAGTCAGGAAAGGAGCAGAGGCTGGTCCCGGGGCTCACAGAGGGTGCACTTGCGCTGTTAGGTGCTATGCCACTGACTCAGTCTTCGCAGCTAACTGTTATCCCCATTTAATAGATGAGGAGACTGAGGCTCTAGGAGCTTAAGCAGCATGCCCATGGTCCTACTAGGGGAACTTTTCAACACATTCAAACTTTGGTGCATCTATGCCAAGTCTGCACATCTCAGAACAGTCATCATGGTGAATGACTGCCGTGTGTGTGTCTGCTCAGGCATGTCTGAGCGACCCCCCAGACCATAGCCCGCCAGGCTCCTCTGTCCATGGGATTTCTCAGGCAAGAGTCCTGGAGTGGATTGCCATTTCCTCTTCCAGGGGATCTTCCTGACCCAGAGGACTGAACCCCCATCTCTTGCGTCTCTTACACTGGCAGTCAGATCGTTTACCACTAGCGCCACCTGGGAAGCCCTGATTGCTGCTCACTAGCTACTGCCACTCTCTGCCAAATGCTGTAGATCTGCCGTCATCAGCTTCATTTATTCATTCAGCCAGTGTGTACTGACCACTGTTATACACTAGGCCCTGGGAAAGGCACAGGCATGTGCTGACAGGCGAGTCCCTCCTCTCAGGGAGGTAAGTGGTATCAAGCTCTATTTTAAACATGAGGAAACTGAGGCTCGGAAGGTAACATGACTTGTCTAGGGTCACACAGCCAGTCAAGGGTGGGAGC